CGCTGCCTTTGTTGTAGTTGTTTTGTTATTAAGTGCTGTAGAGTTGGTTCTGACTCATTTGTTGTTGTTGTTGTTAAGTGCCGTTGAGTTGATTCTGATTCATAGAGACCCTGTATAGGGTTTCTGAGGAGCGGCTGGTGGGTTTGAACCACCAACCTTTTGGCTCAAACTGACCTTTCATTCCAGCACAAGGCCGTAGAGTAGAGTTACTAGTTCTTACCCTCCTCAGGATCACCTTTGTCCCCAGCATGAAGGCACACACACGGCAGACCTCCTCCAGATAATATCTGTGGCTAAGGTTTTGTTCTAAGGACAGTGTGTAACAGAGACCCCAGTATGTGTGAGAACAAAGCTCCAGCCCTAAAGATCTGAGGGTAAGGAGTGCTGTGACCTTCGAGGTCGCCAGTACAAGAAAGCTTCCCAGCCCTCATTACAACTCTTCCCAGACCCTCCTGAAGCCCAAATCTTCTTTGGTGAGTCTTACAAACAGAAAGGATGGCCAGATGAGTTGAGGAGCTAGCAGGGTCAGCCCTTTCCTTGGTCAGTTTTTACTGTACCTAAATTAGCCTCACCATTTCTGCGTTTCTGAGTTAAGCCTTGCGCTTTCTCATAAGTCTTCTTTTAAAAGGCAGTGTGTACCCTTGGAAGGATAAACAAAGGAATTCAGATCAGAGAAAAGAGCAGCTAGAGGCTGGGGAGAAATATGCCGAGATGGGGACAGGGTCCAGAAAGAGGAAGTTCCTGACTTTTCCACCTGCTCCTTGGAAGTCAACTGTGACCAGAGTGAACTGTGTACGAGGGGGCTTCAAAAAGTTTGTGGAAAAATGTAATTGCAAGATAATGGGATTTTTTTCCACAAACTTTTTCATGGAAAAATGTAATTACAAGATAATGGGATTTTTCCACAAACTTTTTGAAGCCCCTTCACATATCCCCTTATTCAATCCCCCCCCATGAAATCAGTGGTGGATTATCCAATAATCAAGGTAAACACAGGCTTACTTGTGCCGACTAACTAATCTGCAGTGAACAGTTTCACATAGGTTTCGCCATGGCTTTGATGTGGTGAAAACCATGTGAAACTGTTCACTACAGATTGGTATATAAACACAAGTAAGCCCATGTTTACCTTGCTTACTGGGTACCCCATTTCTATCAGGGATGGTAAATGTGGAAAGAGGCTTTGATTCTGCAGGAAGGTGCTGTGGGGTTGGGAGAGAGACAGATGCCAGACACACCTAGAAGCAGCGTTTTTGATGAGGTAGAAAATGTGAAATTTCACTACAGAGTAGTAAGTAAGCACAAGTAAGCCTGTGCTTACCTTGCTTATTGGGTAATCCAATAGCGCAAAGGGTTCTGAAGGTTCTTGGGCTGGCGCTGCTCCTGGTGTGGGAGAATGTTGTCAGCTGTGAGAGGGTGGCTCCTGGAGAAGCTAACGCAGAAGTTCCAACCAGAGGTGACAGAGAAACTGCGCCAGCTGGGGCTCTGGGGTAGAGAGCTAGCGTCAAGGACTTGCCTGAGGTCCTGACTGACCTCTTGGAGAGACTGCCCTTATCCACACATGCTATCTAATTTAGTAAAGGGAGTGGTTCTGTAGGATAAGCACTGGACTGCTAACCACAATGTCAGCAGTATGAGCCCACCAGCAGGTCTGTGGGAGAAACTTGAGACTTTCTGCTCCCATGGAGATTCACAGCCCCCGAAACCCTAAGCAGGATCACTGTGAGTGGAAACCAGCTCGACTACACACAACAGGTATCAGAGGGTCAAGCAGAGGCCTGCCTTTCTGTCATTCTGGCTTAAAATAGAAAAGTCCTTTGTGTAAAGAGTAAAACAAAACACAAATAATTCTTGTGTGATTTCCTAAAATTCCACCACTAATCATGTATTAAGGAGCTCTGGTAGCATAGTGGTTACGAATTGGGGCTGCTAATCTCGCGTCAGCAGTTCGAAACTACCAGCTGTTCTGTGGGAGACAGATGAGGCTTTCTACTCCTGTAAAGATTTATAGCCTTGGAAACCCTGTACAGGGTTGCTATGAGTCGGAACCAACTCCACGGCACATAACAACAACAACAACAAATCATGTATTGGAGTCTTGGTGTGGTGCTGCAGGTTAATGGCCTGACTGCAAAGTTGGTTTGAACCACCAGGTTAGGGGTTCAAGCTTACCAGCTGCTCCTTGGAAACACTATACAGGGTTGCTATGAGTCAGAACCGACTTAACAATCATGTATTATTTTAGGTTGTTATTTGTGGAAAAGTCTGGCTGAATAATGGCCCCCAAAGATATTCACATCCTAATCCCCAGAAACTGAATGTTATTTTATGTTTTCCAGATGGCACTCCCAGAATCCTCTGTGCTGGTCACCTTCTCAAAACCTGCTTATCAAAGAGGCTGAGTCTGGGGAAAGGGTCTACCATTCACTGGGTTCCCTTAGTCTATCCAACCAGTAAGCCAAGTCTTTCTTATGATTTTGCGTTTTGTTCTACATTTTTCTCCCGCTCTATCCAGGGCCTTCAAATGTGATCATTTAAGAGCAGTTGGTAGTGGTAGAAAGGCACTGTCTAGTTCTTATCTCAGCGTACTGGAGACTGATGTTCATGTGGCCCATTAGTCCACTGGACTAATTATTTCCATGTGTCTTCGATTTTCATTCTTCTTCTTCCCTCTGGACAGGAAGAGAACAATAGTTGTACCTTAGATAGCTACTCATGAGCTTTTAAGACTCCAGTCGCTACTTACTAATGTAGGATATAGGACATTGTGTTTGTGGACTATGTTGTGCCAAATGACCATGGTGTCCCCTGAGACTATGATTCTGAGCCTACAGGCCAACAACGCATGCCCTTAAGGTGCTTGGTTATGTCTAAGACGTTTTCATAGCCAGTTGGTAAGTTTTATATCTCATTTTATGGATAAGCAACGTGGACACAGAGAGGTTATGTGACTGTCATAAGGTCACACGGCTACTTGGAAATAGGTTGTAATTTCAGTCCAGATCTAACTTCAAAGTCCATACCTCTAATACCATGCTATTCTACCTCCTAAAAAGTATTTTAAACTAGCAGTTTCCCCAATGATGTCTCATTTCTAATCAAGCATTAGTTTTCTAGGGATGGAAAGGTGAGAGAGGGTGGGAGAAGTGGTATGGGTGGGGTCGGATGGGCAAGAGTGAGAGACCAGCCAACTAACCACATCTAATCCGGGGGACTTAATAAAGTAGTAGACCTAGGCCACGAAGTCCCCTTAATCACAGCATAGATAGCTTTGGATCTATACTTGCACCATGAAAATTGTACTATCTTTCCCAAGTGTAATTTTATTTTTGACAACAGAAACATGGCTACCATCTTGCCTTTTTTCTCAAATAGTTTTGTCCTGCCTGCCAATTACTTAAAGCAAGTTTTAAGCACAAAGAAACATTTTAATGTGATTTCCAGTTGGCAGGCATCAAGGCTTAGTGGAAAGCCCTCAGGGACTGGATGGGCCTCGGCTGACCTGGGTTCTCGTTGCAAACTTGATCTGTAGGTCTAGAGAAGTTCCCCTCCCTGTTCAAACAGTGTCTAGCTGAGTTGAAACTCTGAGAAATATGGAAGTTACTGAGTTTTTTTACAGGATCATCCCCTGGTCCAACTTTGTTTGCTGGGTTGGGGGTTTGGTTCTGTGGTAACTGCTGCAGGTCTCTGCAGAAGGCCAGCTAGGAAGGAGTAGGTCTTAGCCTCTGACCTCTGTAGCCATAGGCAGCTCCGGGAACTGGTCCACTCAATCCCAGGGGGCCTCCAGAGCATAGTCTTGGGGTAATGAGACAATCCTGGTCCCAACTCATCCACTTCTCCAAATCAGATGACACCACAGATTGTTAGAGCATTTGGCTGCCCAGACAAGCTGGTTCCTAAGGGTCTCACACACTGGCTGTGGACCCAGTGAGTAAGAATCCCCTGAGAATTTCTTATTTTTAAAAAAAACAGGACAAACAAACAAACAAAAAACATTCCAGAGGGCCTCCTGACCAGACTGTCTGAATCAGGAATACCCAGTGCTGGGCCCTGGGATTCTTTAACAAAACTCCTCAGGGGATTCGCAAGGTCCGGAAACTGTGGGCCTGGCTCAGTGGGTGCCAGTTTTCTTGGGGAAACTGAGGGCCCAAAGAGGCCTGAAGCCAGGCACTAGCAGAACCAAGATCAGAAATCAGGCCCTCTGACACCACCCCCACCACCCCTACATAGTCAGATATTTTTTCCACACCGAATTCAGGAACCCATTGAACCAAGGAACTACCCATTATTTATTTGTTCTAATTTCCTTACACTTAAAGTTACTAATGCACACAGTTTAAAGAGTCAAATACAGGCAGCCTGGCAAAGTTTGTATTAAAAACCACAGTTCCTCATCCACCCAAGTCCATTCACTCACCCGCCCCCTCCCCAGAGGCAATCTCTTTCAACGGATTCCTTTGGGATTTACTCCCATCCTTGTATTGTTTGTTTTTTACAGTGACATGCACTACTTTAGTGTTCGATGTGTTTTGTTTTGTTTTTTAAGTTTTTATTGTTAATTCAGGGAAAGTTTACAGGGCAGATCATCAGTTTTACATTCAACAAATCATACACCATGTTTTATTACAGTGATTATAATTCCCTCCATGTACTATGGGTCGGACCCGACTCGATGGCACTTAACAACAACAACAACAACCATCAGTTAACAGTATTTCTCTCTATTCATTTTAGCTGTGTGTTTTGTTTTGTTTTTAAACACTCAGGCATATATAATAATTTACATCACCAAAGGGCACGTTCTGCAAGTCTGCCTCCTGACCACCAGCTCTCAGTCCCTCTCTTTCCATGAATGTCGAGTCCTCAGCCGCTCTCTCTCTCTCCATGTCCCTATCTCTGCCTCATCTCTGGTGTTTGTATTTGTAATAGTACAGTTAGGACAGATTACCAGGCCTGCTGCAGGACTGGCCCCTAAGGTACTGTGGAGCTGATCCAGGCAGTCACTGGGCACAGGTCACCAGCTCCTCCAGGGCTTGCTCTTGGTGATTGCTGTGAATAAGCAGCACCTCTTTGATCCTGTCCTGCTGGAAACCCATGTCACTGAACTGCTCCCACAGCCTCAGGAACTCCTCTGCCTAAGGAGGTGGAGGGAGGGAGGGTGCTTGTCCTGGGAGCTGTGGTGCCTCCAGGCCAGGTGAGCCTGCTCCCTGCAGCACCTGCCATTTTCCTGCACTCCTGGGGTAACTGTGGACCCCAACCCTCCATCCTGGGAGCAAAGTCCCAGACTGACCCAACTGGGGCCTCCACTTCCAGCTGCATCCAGGTTTTGCTCCCATATGTTCACGTCCTTCTGTAATTGGTATGTGTGTTTGGGGGTGGAGAGATGCAGAAGAGTCAGGCTACATGCTGATGTCACAACAGCCTGAGGTCTCTGCCCATCTTCCAAACCTGCAGTCTTCTTCCAGTCTCCAGCCCTGCTAAGCCCCGGACCTCATCGACCTCATCGCTCATTGTTAGCATCTCTCCTACCCCTCTGAACTCCCTCACTGCCCCACTCTCTGTCCACTCCTCACTCTGTCCCTCCCTCAGTCACTAGAAAGAGCTGCTCTGCTGAGCTGGATCAATGGCCATCTGAGGACAAGTGGTCTTCATCGGCACTTAGAACTGACCATGGGCCATAGCTGCAGCATTGTTGGTTTTCAGGTGAGTGGCAAACTCCCTGATAAGAGGGTGTATACCTCTTTGTACTGCCCATGGCACCCATCTGGGTGTCTGACAAAGAGGGGTGCTCGATACTGTTTGTTGTATTGACTCAGTGAAATAAACGAAACCCTTGCCTCTTTCTGTGCTTCCTGTTGGTCCTCCGCTCTCTCTGGATCTCCCATCCTCCCCCATGCTTCATCTCCCTGGGCTACTGCCTTCTCCCGAGGCCTGAGCAGGCAGCTGTGGCCTGACTCCAAGCACAGGCTTACTCTGCTTGGTCCTAACCTTCTCCAGGGCTTGGAAGGGAGCCCTTGCTCACCTGGCTCTCAGAGAACTGGAACATCTCCATGGCCTCCTCTACCAGGCCCTCCTCATAGCCCAGCCGCAGCAGCCGGTCACGGGCGCTGAGATAACTGAGAAACTGGGCAGGAAAGGGGTAAGAGGGGGACGCTGTGAGAGGCGTGTCAGGGCAGCAGACCGAGTGGAGCTCAGGGCCAGCTGGAATGGGCAGCCCATCACATACAACATGGTCCCAGAGACCCCAGAAGCCAACAAAAGAGGGACAGAGGCCTCTTCTAGAGAACTAGGGATGGATGACAGTGGGTTTTAACCATCTGGGCTGGAATCCCTGACAGAGGCTGTTGGGTGGGTTAGAGTGTCCCCAGAACCTGAGTTGGGGAGGAGGCCAGCCCTCAAACATAGCTTCACTTCCCAACCCCAGGCCATGCCATATGCATGAACACCTACCCAACCCTGCCCACCCTCCCTGGTGAGCATCACATGTAGGAAGGTGCCCATCCAACCCAGTCACATCTCTGTCATTTAGGACTTAGAGCCACTAGTATACAACAGGCCGGCACCAGTGCTGGGAAGGAAGAGAGAGGTGGAGGAACCCGGCGTTGGTAACCAGTTCAAGCCACTCCCTGCTGAAGTCACCAGGGGCTCCTTTGATCCTCAGGATAAAGACCTGGTGAGGCACTGCGAGTTAATGCGTTGTTCTGCAACGTTAGTTTGGACCACAGGGTTGGTGGTCCAAGCTCACTGGCCACTCAGAAACCCTATTCAGGGTTGCTGTGAATTGGAACCGACTCAATGACACTTAACAACAATAAACCAGGGTTCAAAGGCCTGTTCAGGCCCTCTGTCCCGAGCCTCAGTTCTTCCTTGTCCCCTTGGTTAAGTGTTGTAATATTAAGTGCTGTCCAGTTGGTTCTGACTCATTATGACCCTGTATAAGGAGCTCTGGTAGCGTAGTGGTTACGAATCGGGCTGCAAACCTTAAGTTCAGCGGTTCGAAACTACCAGCTGCTCCGCGGGAGAAAGATGAGGCTTTCTACTCCCGTAAGGATTTACACCCTCAGAAACCCTGTACAGGGTCGCTATGGGTCGGAACCGACTCGAAGGCACTTAAAAACAACAACATAGGGGTTTCAAGGCTATAAATCTTTGTGGGAGAAAGCCTCATCTTTCTCCTGAAAGTTGGTGGGCTCAAACCACTGACCTTGAGCTTAGAAATCCAGTGCTTAGCCTACAGTGCCACCAGTGCTCTCTCATCCTTGCTGTTGTTGGTAAGTGCTATCGAATTGGTTTCCAACTCAAAACAACCCTGTCTAAGGTTTCCGAAGCTGTACATCTTCATGGGATGGGTCTCATCTTTCTCTTGTGGAGCAGCTGATAGGTTTCAACTGCCAACCATGTGGTTAACAGTCCAGTTCTTATCCTACAGTGCCATCAGCACTCTCTCATTCCCTCAAGACCTTTGTGTAGTCAGCTCCCTCACTCAAGACCTGTCTCTCTTACCTTCTGCCCTTGATCTCTGACCCTCTTTTGTTGGTCCGAGCTGAGTGTGTGTGGGGGGCAGCCTTTGATGCCTCTGCAGCGCCCTGTGCTCCCCCCTATTACAGTACATCTGACTGTATAGCTGCTTTGCTATCTCCCCCAGCTTCTCATTCACTAACTTTATGCACCAGAAGGCAAAGTCTATGTCATGTTCACGGTGTCCCAGCAGCCAGTGGGACAGGCAGGCACTCAATAAACATATGGCAGGTTTATAAAATGAATTAATAATAGCCTTCAAGGAGCTCCTAGTTGACTGGAGGAGATAAACCAGATACATGCAAATATCTGCGCCAGGTAAATCTGAGCAGGATTTATGAGCAGTCGGTACCAGACGAGGGCTCCAGATTATAAGAATGATGGGTATACATTGAGAAGAAGGTTAGATTTCTACAAACTTTCAGAGCTCAACAGAAAACACAGTCTGGTCATCTAGACGATTAGTTTTCAAATTGTTTTTACTCCTGAACTGTTGGTTCAGAGCAGAAGGCGGCTTCACCAATAACAGTAAGATCAGAGCTGTTCTGGGAGGTGTGGGAGGCTGGAGTCCAGAGTTCCTGCACCAAGGAACCCCCAGAGACCAACTGTGCTCTCTGAGTACAGTTTAAAAACCATGCACCCAAGATCTGCTCTCACAGTTGAGGAAACTGAGATCCCGATAAAGCAAGCTTCGTATCAGCGTGTTAGCTCTGAACTGCCTTGAGAGTAGACAGGGTTTCCAAAGGTAAAAACAGGAGGGAGGGCAAGGGCAGATAGCTGGTGGAAGGTCCCTCACCTCTTGGTTCATCCACAGCAATGGGTTCTCAACCTTGGTGCTCATTGCAACCACTTGGAGAGCTTTAAAAATGGCAGCTGCCTGGCCCCCACCTCCAAGAATTCTGCAGTAATTGCTCTGGGATGTAGCCCGGACAATACAGATTTCAGATCGTTAAGTGAAGGCAGACTTAATCCAGTAGGCCCCATGCCAGACTTCAGATCTTTTAAAATTATAGGTAAGGAGTCCTGCTAGTGTAGTATTGGTTATGTGTTGGGCTACTAACTGCAAGGTCAGCAGTTCGAATGCACCAGCCACTACTCCACGGGAGAAAGATGAGGCGAGCTGTGCCTGTAAAGATTCTGTTGTTCTTGTTAGGTGCCATCAAATCGGTACCGACTCATAGTGATCCTATGTATAACAGAATAAAACACTGCCCAGTCCTGGGCCAACCTCACAATTGTTGCCACGCTTGAGCCCATTGATGCTACCACATTGCCAATTCATCTTGCTGGGGGTTTTCCTCTTTTTCTCTGACCCTCCACCTTACCAAACATGATATCCTTCTCTAGCAACTGGTCCCTCCTGACAATATGTCTGAAATATGAGAGACAAAGTTTGGTTATCCTGGCCTCCAAGGAGCACTCTGGCTGCACTTCTTCCAACACATATCTGTTGGTTCTTTTGGCAGCCCATGGTACTTTCAGTATTCTCCTCCAACACCATAACTCAAAGGTATCAATTCTTCTACGGTCTTCTTTATTCACTGCCCAGCTTTCACATGCATATGAGGTTATTGAAAATACCATGGCTTGGGTCAGGCACACCTTAGTCTTCAAGCAGACATCATTGCTCTTCAACACTTGAAAACGGTCTTGTGCAGCCGATTTGCCTAATGCTGTATGTCATTTGATTTTTTTTTTTTTCTTTTAGTTTTTATTGTGAATTGAGTGAAAGTTAGCAGGGCAGATCATCAGTTTTACATTCAACAAATCATACAACTTATTTCATTACAATGATTACAATCCCCTCCATGTACCATCAGTTAACAGTATTTCTCTCTATTCACTTTAGTTCTTTTTTGAACACTCAGGCCTATATAATAATTCATATCACCAAAAGGCATATTCTGCAAGTCTGCCTCCTGGCCACTATCTCTTAGTCCCTCTCTTCCCATGAATCTAGAGTCCTCAGCCGCTCCCTCTCTCCATGTCCCCATCTCTGCCTCCATCTCTAGTGTCACTGCTTTTCTGGATAAAGTCCCGCATTCCGCTTGTGCTCTTCTCCCTTGATGGTCCTAGGGTCCTTTGTTTCTGGACTGTAAGATTAACCACTCCCCTGTTTTTGTTACAAAACATCTACCTTTACAATGTGACAGTCACAATTAGTCATGATAACAATTACTCACTACTGAATCATAAGAATCTTATCCCCATTTCTTTTAACCAGACCCATCTAAAGAAGATGAAAACTATTCAGTGGGGACCCTTTCTTCCCCCACACACTCTTAAACTAAACTGCCTCTTGAAACCTTGTAAGCCAGTCACTTGGTGCCTTTATCATTCCCTCATTTTAGGTAGCCAATGTCTAAGTCCCTATCTACAATGTGTACAGAGGGTATAGCATTGCTACTTGATGTGAAGACTCCTTCCCTCTCTGTTGGTTAATTTAGAGTTACTACCCCCATGAGTATAGATCAGGTTCTTCAAATTGTAGCAATTTAACCTTATTTCCTTCATCAAAAATTTGTTTGTTTGTTTTATCTTCCTCTAGTCGAGTTCTGATTATCAAGCCATCGAGGTTAGGTCAAATGGGTGCTGTCTGCAAGTTTCGATGTTCTTGTGCATCTTCCCTCACTTCATATCAGCTGGATGCTTCTCTCTCAGCTCTAGCCCTCTGTGGTTATGTTCTTGTCCATGGGCTCAGGTGTCCCCAGGTCTTACCACACTTTGGACCAACCAGCCCTTCATCTTCTCTCTCTCTCATCTCCAGGTCAACGGGAGTCAATGGACCATGGTTGAACTCAGCCCATTTCTTCATTGTTGCCTTTCCCACTCTTTCACTCACCAGTAGAACAATGTGGTTGCCAGCAAGCTTACATGCCTGCTCATGTGTTCCCTTTGAGTTTCAGTCTTAGAGGGGGGGTTTTCCTGAAGGATCTTGATTGCTTGCCTTGGTGGCTTCCCAGTGAACAGCTTGCTTCTTCTTTTTTTTTTTTTTAATGCTTTATTGTGAATTATGTGATAGTTTACATGGGAGGACATTAGAGTTTCACATTGATTCCCATCGTATATCATTTCCTTGACGTGGTTACAATCCCCTCAATGCATCATCCATCAACCAAAGGGTATACCCTGCAAGCCTTGCTGTGAAGATTTGTTCCCTCTTTTCAGCTATTGCATCCATAGGTGTAGGTCAAGTTGTATCAGACTATTCTTTTTTTCCTCTCCTTTCTTCTTCTAGTTGAGCTCTGATCATCCAGTCATTTAAGCCAGGTCAAGTGGGTATTATCTGCAAGTGTGGGTGTACTTATGCATTTGCCCTCTCTTCTTATCAGCTGGATGCTTCACTCTCCACTCTAGTCCTCTGTGGCTATGTCACTGACTCTGGGTCCAAGAGTCCCCTGGACTTGCCACACTTCTGGCCAACCAGGTCTCCACCCCAGTTCACAGGAGTCTATTGAATGTTGTAGGGCTTAGCTCACAGCTTCATTGCTGCTTTTCCCTCACTTCCCCTTATCGGTGATGAACTTAGTCACCAATGCGCATATTTTCCCATTGAGTGTTAGTCTTAGAAGGAGGTTTGCTCTGAGGGAGACCCGACCATTTGCCTTGATGTCACCTGGGTGAGCTACTTGTTTGTTCTTGTAGTAATCAGTGGGTCTGCCTATATTGTTTTGTATTTTTCCTGTCAGTCTTTCTTTCAAGAAGTATCTTCTGTTCTTCTGGCAGCTCCAGGCTGGTCTACTTGTCCTTTCAAGTGCTTGAGCTCTATCACCTGATACCCTCCTGCCTGGGACAGCTGACGTTTATCTCTCCCACTGAGAAGGATTTACTACCTGTGTGTCTGTCTTTCAGAGGGAAAAGGAATCTGAACCCAGAAGAGTAGTTTAGTTAAGAATGGAACTGCACAGAACAGAAGGAAAAAAACTTGGCTGAGGAAAGAGGATGAAGTCATCCACCTCTCAGTGTCTGACCCCTGACTGTCCACTCGGAAGGCCACCCAGGAATCCAATGGCCAGGCAGGTGGTCAGTAGTCCATGTCTGGAGACATAGTGTTCCTAATTCGTGGATCCTTCCAGCCCACCCACGGGGAGGCCAATTAATCTGTGTGCTTTAACTAATCATAAGACCCCAACAGAGAAGGCTTGAAACCTTATCATGCTGGGCATAGAGAGAGATTGTGTGTTGGGGGAGGGGATGTCAGAACCCCCATCATTGATCTGTTCCCTCACAGTCCTCCTAACTGGCTTCTTGGCCAAGGTCCTTGCTTTTCTGCAGTAGCAGAAGGTAGGAGCAGCTTTAGATCTACTCCTAAATCTCAAATCAGCCTGGGGTGCAGTGCTGTAAATTTCTTACATAGAAAATAAGAGCATAGGTGGGTGCAACAAAGATTTGGAATCAGATCAGACTGGCTTCAGTCCTGGTGCAGACACTGATTGGCTATATGAACCTCTCTAGCCTCAGTCTTCCTCATCAGCAACGTGGGGACAATAATAACCACCTTGCAGAATTGAGAAGACCTAATTCAGACTGAAGAACTAGCACAAAAACTGTGTTCAATAAATATTAGTTCCTCCCTCTTCTACCCCATTGTAGCTACATGGGGTCACCCTGTTGAAATGGACTGATAAACCCATATGAAGCAGGACTGGGCAAGGAAGGAGACTCTGTACATTTCCCCACCTCCCTAAGCACAGTCTGAGAGTCACTTCATTCTCCTTTTGTCCTTCCTTCCCCTGGGAGCAGGTTTCTCTCGACCTCAGGGACCCAACATTCAGCAGTCATAAGTGATTATGGAGAGAGTATCCCAAGTCCTCTGATGGTTTTTGTTAAGTGCCCTCAAGCTGGTTTTGACTCACAGCAAACCTGTATAGGGTTTCCGAGGAGCAGGTGAGCTTGAACCGCTGATCTTGAGGTTCAACTGACCTTGCAGTTCAGCGTGTTAACCCACAGCGTCACACCAGGATTCCTTATGGTGGTAGGACAGGAGAAAGGGATACTTGACAATTACCCTGCTGTTGTTAAGTGCTGTTGAGTTCCAACTCATAGTAACCCTGGATAGGGTTTCCAAGGAATGGCTGGTGGGTTTGAACTGCTGACCTTGTGGTTCACAGTCCAGTGCTGATCCTACAGCACCACACCAGGAATTCATACCAGTGGCCCAGCTTTCCCACCATGGGTGAAAAGAGAGAGAAAACTGGCTGTTGGTATGGATGAACTATCTGTTCCTGATGACTGCCAAACAATGCAAAGGGGACTAACACTGCACTGAGGTGGCGGGATGGGAGTTCAGATACTGGCAAGGAGTGTCACCACCTATCTTGTCCCCGTGTACAACCTTTTTGCTTCAGCTTAGCATTCAAGGTACCCTCAGCTCCTCTTCCCTACCTTATCTGCCACCAGACTGTATCATGCACCCTCTACTGCAACAAGACTGGTCAGAATCAGGGTCTCTCCAACTATTCCTTCCTTTCTACTCCTTTGCTTACACTGCTCCTCCTGCCTGGAATATCGTTTCTTTTTCCCACCAATTAGGTCTCATCCATTCTTGAAATCAATTTCAAGGCTTGACACCTCCATGAAGCCTGTCTTGATTACTGGAAACTCCTCGTGGTACATTAAGAATGCTTGTAAGTTCTCTGCAATTCCTGTCTCAAGAGGTAGTCTATTTCCCACTTTAAATCTGGGTTTGAATTGTGATATACTTTAACTAACAGAATGAATTTATGCATAATTTCCAACTTAGAACTCAAGAAGTCTTGTAGCTTTCACTCTTTTACTCTTGGAACCATGTCACCATGTGAAGGAGCCAAAGTGAGTTTGCTGGAGATATGTAGCCCAGTTGACATATCACTGACCACCAGACTGTGAATGAGACCATCTTATACCATCCAGTCCCATTTGAATCACCAGACTATAGCCATGTGAGAGGACCCAGCTAAGACCAGCAGAAGAAACACCCAGCTGAAGCCATCCCAGACTATGGCTGCTGTCGGTGGGGTAGTTGTTGTTGTTAACTGCTGTCGAGTCGATTCCGACCCATAGTGACCCAGTATAGGGTTTCCGAGGAGCAGCTGGTGAGCTTGAAGTGCTGACCTTGCAATTCAAATGGCTTTGCAGTCTGACGCATTAACCCACAGTACCACACCAGCACTCCGGGGTAATTAGTTACACAGCAATAAATAACGGAAACATTCATAACTGTTCTGTTCCCAGGTAACTTATCACTGGCACCTCTTTTCTGGCATATTAGAGGTCCTCACTGCCCTGAAGATGCTCTCACATTTTGAGTTTTACTGGGGATCAAAACCTGCTCCCAAATCTTAGAGTAGACTGGGGTGTTATCCTTTGAATGCCTTCATCAGTCTTCCAAAAAAAAATGTGAACACTTTGAGAATGGAATCTGGGTGTGGTGGACCTTGTGATGTGCCTCTTGTTACCCTTCAATGAAGGACTGACCACCCCACATACTTAAGCTGTCTGACCGTTCAGGGATTGCCTCAGCTACAGAGAGCCACTTCTCCTGTCACTTTTCTTCCCAGGGGGTGGTTGAGGCAGGGTATAAAGACCTGACCAGCTCAGCTCCACTCAGGATGACTCTGAAGAGGGATATATACTGCAAAGCTGTAGGGTTGGCTGAGGTTATCGTTGAGCCAGCGTTGTAGCTCCAACTTCTCCGTCTGCCCACTCCTGCTTCTTATCTCCTCCCTCCCACAGGGTTGGATACCAAGAGCCTTTTTAATAAACATCCTACGTGTCAAACTCCATCTGTGTTTGTTTTCCAGACAACCCAACCTATAGCACTATTCTTAATGTACCTTTGTTTTTCCCAGAGCTTCTAGCTGCATCTAAACACCCAGGAGAGGCATACTCACTCATGGACTACATGGATAGATGGATGAATGGAAGGAGAGTTGGCTGTGGGTATGAATGAACTGTTCATTGAGGGAAGTGATTAGAGCTGCATCATTCTATATGGTAGGCACTAGCCATGTGTGGTTATTTAAATGTCAATGAACTATAATTAAATGAAATTTAAAATTCACTTCCTTAGTCACACTAGACACATTTCAAGTACTCAATCACCACATAGGACTTGCAGATACTGGATTGGATAGCAATGATACAAAACATCTCTATCTTTGCTGAAAGCTCTATTGGACAGTACTGAAGAGATTCTTGGCTGCCCAAAGCTTCCACCCTGGAACTTAGGGCAGAGATGGAAGACAGGATTATAAATTGAGACTCTTCAGATAGGCATGGAGATTCTTGAAAAAAACCTATAGAAGAGGTAGCAACATGGTCTAGAAATAATCCTAATGAAATGTGATGGTGCTGGGGTTATGGGCCTACTGGGGTTATGGCCTACTAGGGTTCTGCCTCTAAAGAAAACTTCAAATTAAAGATAAAAACTATGTGGTCATGATTGTGATTTCGGTTCCAAAGTTCCCATCTCTAGACCCCCACTCACCTGGCTTAGGTTCTGTCTCCCTGTCTTCTGCAGAGCCAGGATAGCCCTATGCATGGGATACCCCAGGGCAACCACAGGTTCAATGAGGTCTTGCTCCTCCTGGCTCAGGGCAGACAGCAGGTCAGCTGTAGAATCAAGGTATGATTGGTTCTGGTTGAAAGTCAGGGCCACACCTCCAAGGAGTGGCAGGCAGGTTTTCGGGTGGAGGGACTGAAATACAGATAGACTAGACATGTAAGTTACCATAGCAGGTGACAACCTGCTGTTTGACCTTGAAAAGGTACCTGTTTGTACCATCTTCTATTCAGAGGGTTGTTAATTGCCAGCTAGTTGGTTCCAACTGATAGTGACCCTGTATAGGGTTTCTGAAAGCAGCTGGTGAGCTTGAACTGCCAACCTTGTGATTCAAACTGACCTTGCAGTCCAATGCATTAATTCACAGAACCACATCAGGACTCCATACAACAGTAGAGGCTAATATCGTTAAGGGCTTAGAGTTTCACAAACATAGATTCAAACCCAGCACTCTACCATTTATTCTGTTTACTCCTATGTAGAATGGAGACAGTCTTAGCTACCTCAAAAAATTGCTGTGAAGCTTAAATCAGACAGTGAGAAAAGTGATTAGCAAAGTGCCTGGCATACAGTAAATGTTAATATTTGATTTACTACTTATAACAACTCTGTAAAACAAATATAATAAAATATAATCAGTCTATGCTACCATCCCATTTAATAGATACTGAAATCTAGTTAATGACCTAATAAGACACACATTTGGAACCTAAACTCTAATCAAAATCAAAGTCATATCTTGGGATAGCATGGTTCCTCCCAGCCAGACCCTCCATCTTGAGTTTGACTGGGCTGGGACTTGGCACACCTGCCCCTAAGTTGTGGTAATGAGGAGACTCAGACCCTGGACTGAGGAGGATGGCTTGGAGGTGTTTCAGTTGGTTCACTTTAGAATCATCCCCAACTCATTCCTCATGAGGAAGTACCATCTTCCAGCCCTAAGCACATGACCTTCCCATTCTACTCTCCAAGGGAAGTCTAGCTGCTGCTCTGGTTCCTGGGACTGAGGGTGTGGGTATGAATTCCTTACACAGCCCCATCTTCTGAGGAATTCCTTGCCATGGTCCCATCCTAGGGTCTGCCCTTCTCTCCCAGGGTGGGAAAATGTCCAGATCTTTTGAGCTGAGTCAACTCTAGTGATCTTGAAAAAGAGCTCTTACCTCTTCCTTCCTGTTTCCTCATCAAGAGAACAAGAATGGCATTTGCTCACTTCCCCACACAGGGTTGTTGCTGAAAGTTTCATCTCAATTTAATATTGACCAGGGAAGAAGACCCTGGCATCAACATCTTGTCCCTGATGTAGGCATGGCCTGTCCAGTTTACAGAGGCTCTTTTCCTCTGTGATGTTTGCCCTAAACAACTGTGTGAGAGGTTGCTAGGTCTACTTTACAAGTAGAAAAGGGGGTGGCTCAGAGAGGTTCAGCAATTTGTCTAAGGTCACACTGTGAGTGAGTGGGAACAAATTCTGTCCTTTGAATTTGATTTCACTTTGGGCTTATTCTGGTTCATCTCCTGGCCTGCTGGGGTTACTGGAGGGTGGAGAGAGGCAGAAAGCTCCTGCTACCAATGCTGGCATGCTTTTGAAGACATGTATAGGCTTTGTGGAGTCTGATGCTTACACAATTTGGATGTGTAAGCATTCAAATCTTACAGAAAAGGGACATCCAAGTCTGAATGCAAATTGGGTACAAGGCTCCAGGAGGAGCCTGAGGCTTTTCTTCATTGGCTTCATGGTACATTCATTTCTGCTCCCATGATCCCTATGGATTCACTTGCTCTGTCCTGAAGTCTCAGCCTGTATCTGCCCTCGCCCTCTCTCAATGTTTGACTCTTCCCACCACACAGTTTTGGGTCTTGCCCCATCCTCTGGTCAACTCTGGGTGTCTTATGGTTTTGGCATGGTCTCTCCCAGCAGAGCCTTCTAGGAAGTAACTGTGCAGTGACTATTCCTTGACTGAGCCTCCAAATTCACCCATCCTAAAGCAAATCTCTAAGGGGAATCCCTACATTGGAGTCTCATTCATTAATTCAACATTCATTCGGCGCCCCCTATGGGCCAAGTCCCGCCATAAAATAACTCCTATTCCATTGGAATTGATCATTGTTAAGCGCCGTAGTGGTTACGAATTGGGTTGGGAACCTCAAGGTCAGCAGTTCGAAACTACCAGCTGTTCCGCGGGAGAAAGATGAGGCTTTCTGCTCCCGTAAAGATTTACAGCCTTGGAAACCCTGTACAGGGAGGGTCGTTATGAGTCGGAACCGACTCCACGGCACATAACCAACCAACCAAAGCGCCCCCGAGCGAGTTCTGACTCACAGCAATCCTATATAGAGTCTCCAAGGAACAACTGGTGGATTTGAACAGCCGACCTTATGGTTGGCAGTCCAGTGCTTATTCTATGGTTAGATCATTACAATCACTGCGGAGCAGGTACGGCGGGAAATGCTATGGGGCTCCCTGAGCAGGGAATATTACAAGTGCAGGCCGCACAAAGAACAGTATAGTAGGGCCCGATGGGCGCAGGAAAGTGGGAAGAGTAGCATGGCAAGTAAGGAACCGACCCTGTTGACCTGACTGGGAACACAGAATGGGGAGCGGGGAAGGCTTTGGCTAGCGGGGCAGGCACAATTCTTACCATGACCGGGGCTTGTGGTTCCTTTGCGGGGTTCTGGCGCCGGCCGTGGAGGGTCTCAGAGGCGGTGCGGGGGCGCCGAGGCCCCGGCAGAGGCTCTGCGCGTGGCGGGCACGTACGTGGGACAGGAGAGCGCGGGGGCCGGCAGCCAGCCTTCCCTCCGAGAGCTGCCGCTGCGCCACAGCCAGCTTTGACCTCATGCGGCTCAGCAAGTCCAGCGAGCACAGGCGCTGGCCCGGCTCGGGGCTTGCCAGGCTCGCCTGGGAGTCCGACTGCGGGATGCAGGGGCCCGGCTCTTCCTCGCCGGTAGAAGAGGTTTCTTCTTCATCCTCTTCCTTCGCCTCCTTCTCGGACTGTTCCTGGGGTCCGGTGTCTGGGCCTTGGGCTGCGGCAGGCACAGGCACTGACCTGTAGTCGGGGCTGACCAGCAAGAGCCAGGCCGGTGGAGCTGACGCCGTTCCCGGGTCACTGCATGGGCCCGCACAGGGTCCCTGGAAGGCAGCCTCTACTCAGAAGATCACCTTCCTCTCTAAACTGAAGTCGTGCTGTTGAGAAACGCTGATGTGAGGACATGTGTCCAGAATAACTGATTAAAGAAATATTGACGCAAAATAGGCAGGTAGTGACGGTCCCCAAACCAAATTAATCGATTGCAACTCATAGCGACCCTATAGGACAGAGGTGAACTAACTGCCTCTTAGGGTTTCTAAGGTTGTCAATCTTTAGGGAGCAAACTGCCACCTCGTTTTCCCTGGAGCAACTGGTGGGTTTGAACTACTGCCCTCACTCTTACTCAAAAACCAGAAGCCAGAAAATAGAAGATAATTTCAACACTGCACCACCAGGGCCCCTTGCAATGATGGGCCCAGGAAGAAAAATAATGAAGGTGGGGGAGGGGGGACAGAGGGACTAGAGCTAGAGCTTTAGAGCCCTGGTGTGGCGCTGCGGATAAAGCACTGGACTGGAAGGTCATTTGAACCACAGGGTGGGTGGTTCAAACTCATCAGCTGTTCTGTGGAAACCCTGTACAGAGCTGCTATGAGTCGAAACTGACTTGGCATTTAGCAATAACAACAAGCCTGGAAATTTAACCACTGACTACCAGGGGTCCTTGTTCCTGTGGGTAACTAGCTAGAAAACGAAAATTAAGTTAACTTCATTCTCACATTATACACAAGGATGTATTCCAAGAAGATCAAAGATTAAAATGTGTAATATGAAGCCATAAAAACACTAGGAGAAAGGGGAAGTGAGGGAAAAATAGCAATGAAGCTGGCGAGCTAAGCCCTACAACATTCAATAGACTCCTGTGAACCAAGGTGGAGACCTGGTTGGCCAGCAGTGTGGCAAGACCTGGGGACTCTTGGGCCCAGAGTCAGTGACATAGCCACAGAGGACTAGAGTGGAGAGTGAAGTGTCCAGCTGATAAGAAGAGAGGGCATATGCACAAGAACACCCACACTTGCAGATAATACCTGCTTGACCTGGCTTCAATGACTGGATGATCAGAGCTCAACTAGAAGAAGAAAGAAGAGGAAAAAAGGAATAATCTGATACAATTTGATGAACTTGACCCTATACCTATGGATGCAGTAGCTCAAAAGAGGGAACAAATCTTTACAGCAAGGCTTGCAACCTTTGGTTGGTTGATGATGCATGGAGGGGATTGTAACCATGGCAATGAGACGATATACGATAGAATGAATGTAAAACTAATGTTCTCCCATGTAAACTATCACATAATTCACAATAAAACAAAACAAAACAAAAGGTCTTATGCAGCAGATTTGCCTAATGCAATACATCTTTTGATTTTTTTTTAATCGTTTCATTGCCATGGTTATAATGCCCTCCATGCATCTTTTGATTTCTTGAAGGAAAAAACAAAACATTAGGAGAAAACATAAGAGAAATCCTTTATATCCTTAATATGAGAAAAGAGTGATTCTCACTCTTACTCAAATACCAGAAGCCAGAAAATAGAAGATAATTTAAACATACACATACACCTGCATGGCAAATCCATCCTATAAGCAAGGTCAAAAGACAAAAGACAAACAGGAAAAAATAGCACTTACATCAAAGACAAAAGGCTATCATCACTAATGTAGAGTTCCCAGAAATAAGTAAGAAAAATAACCAACAGCCCAACAGAAAAATGGGCAAAAGATAGGGATAGTCCATAGAGAAGGACAGATAAATGGTTCAAATATATGAAAAGATGCTCATTATAAAAGAAATGCAAAGTAAATCTGCACTGAGATGTCAAGATACGCATTCCTCGGGAAAGATTTAAAGACTGATGACTCTCTGTTGGGAGTCTTGTATATTGTTGGTTGGGATGTACGTTTGTACATTTCCTATGGAGGGCAATTTGGCACTATACTTACACAAATTCAAAAGGACATTTGCATACAGTTATTTTCTTGTAATGGTAAAAGACAGCCAACAACCAATGTTCATTGTATGATATAGTTATATAAATATAATATACTTGTTGTTGTTGTTGTCAGGTGCCATCGAGTCGGAACCGACTCATAGCGACCCCATGCACAGCAGAACAAAACAATGCTCG